GTGCACTGAGTATGGACCCGGTGCCTGGGTGTGTGTAAGTGTGTTGCCTGTGTGTATGCACGTGCACTGAGTGTGGACCCGGTGCCTGGGAAGCCAGGAGGTGCCAGAGCTCCCTGGTACTGGACAGCTGTGAGTGGCCGTGTGGTGCTGGGAACTGAACCCGGGTCCTCTGCTAGAACAGGAAGTGCTCTTAACTGCTGAGCTGACTCTCCATGCCCCATGTGTATGTTCTCTGTGAAAGAATGCACACAGCCCTGGTAGAGACGCGGAAAATGTAGAGGTCCTTCTGCATTTTACTTACAAGAATCACAAGTTACTGTCTATGTGTGGACATGGGACTGTGAAGTCAGGCTACATGGCAAGTTATTGCTCTTTTAGCAACTGCAGTGTTGGAAAAATCTCAAAACAGTTGATAAGCTTCCTATATCTGATCCATCTTCCTCTCTCTTCTTTAATTTCTAGTTGGGAATTCTAGATAGATTTCTAACATTAATAAACTGAAAAGATTCAAGCATTTGGCACGCTTTCAAAGGACTATTACTTTCTTTAGCAGAAGTAAAATTTGTAATTTTTAAAAAATATTTTCTAGTGGTTTTTCATACATCAACACATCATATAATGCTGTTGTACTAGCCTCTAAATAGAGCTGGTAGTTTTTAAAATTTAGGATGCATGTACACACAAACACACACACACAGAGTCAGAATTTACTGCTGAAGTGCTTAAGATATATTAATGAGAAAAGCACTTAAGCTATGTAAGTACACATTCCAGAATCAAGGCACACACATTAAGACTGCAGCAGGACACCGTGAAAGGGTTATGATTCAGGAAGAGACGTTAGGAGACAGCCACTTGCAGACTATAGGAATAAGAAAATGTGAAAAACGCGTATGCCTTCGTCTACTGTTAACCCTTTGGGTGCTCAAGTGAGACAGCCGCAGTTGACTAGCCAGCCTAAGAAATCAACATGCACATCTCGCTGATCAATCAAAGACCCTGCTGATACTTGGGTGTTTGTTCTCCTGGAGGGGTTTCACTATTAATGTCGGGAAACTATAAACAGAAAGAGAAAGAGTAATATGAATTTTTTTTTGTTGTTAAGCAAAATGCTGGAGTATAAACTTAGGACATAAAGCTTAGAGTAATGTGATCTGTCGTTCTGATATCTACTTCTTCATCACTCAATGGGTGAGACGCAGTGAGCTGAAAGGGGGCCGCACTCACTGTAGACATCGAGCCTGGCAGTGCAGGACACAATGCCTGCTTCGTTCTTGGCGGACACGGTATACCATCCAGCGTCTTCTTTTGTGGCTCCCTGAATGAGCAGACAGATGTAGCCGTGATTATCCTGGTGCATGCTGCAGGAAGAGATAAAGTCATTAGAGCTCTAAATGTCGAAGAAGTGGCGGTGGACACGAAACATCCTTTTTAATTAGGTCATTGGAAACAGAATGGTGCCAGTAATAGATAACAGGATCATACTTATTCTGGAGAGGCGGCTAGCCCCATTAAGTTAATGGGAGAGTGGAGCAGGCCTCAGGAGGGCGAATAAATCTATGCACTAATTCCTAGAGGAGGACCTGCCTTTACAAAACCATTGACGAGGCTGTTGCTTACCAGAGCAAATGAATCCATCTCTTCTTTTTGATATACACGTTTCAAAAATGCCATTAGGTTAAGCCCGAACATGCTCACCACATCCCAACATTGCTACCTACCACATCCCAACATTGCCACCTTCCCAAAGCTTAAACTTCCAGTTGAACAAAGGGTGACTTTTGTCTTGCATGGCCAGGGTAGCGTGCTTCAACACACACTCTTCATCTAGCGTCAGGACGACACAAGTTATGGGGTAGATGCAGCCACACTGCCAAGTCTTACCTTACTCGATCAGTGCTGTGAGTGAGCGATTCATTTTCTTTCTTCCAAAATATCTGAGGTGGTGGCGCTCCCAAAACTCGGCATTCCAGCCTCACTGGGTACCCATCGGCTACCCCTGTGTTCTGCAGCTTCTCAATAAACATGGGGGCCTTGTGTGCTTCTTTAGCTGAGGAAAAACAAGATGAATTATCCATTAGCAGAGTACAAAAGGGTCACTGCGAGGTTCTCAGAGGCTTTAGAAAGATTGAGCAGGCCTCTTTTATGAGGCCATTTGCACGTCACGTGGTCAAGAGGTTAGCTCTCTCCCCAAGCAAGGGTCTATACGCTTCATTGCTCTCATGCATTCCCTCAATTAATTCAAGAATGATGGGCCCACACAGCACCCGGACATCTGCTCCTCAGAAGCCTGCCTGACAGGCCTCAGAGATTCAGTCACTGCTGGCAGCTTGTGAGAGCTCCCCTCCCAAGTCAATGCGAGCTCACGGCCTTGACTCACTGCTGCCACCTAGTGGTGACAAGTACTTCAGGCTCAGGAGTCACTGGCGGCCTCCTGAAATGTCTTCTTTGAAGATTTAAGGTTGGAACTCATAATGCAATGAGACATTCCACAGCATTTAAAGGGTGGTGGTGGTGGTGTGTGTGTGTGGCGGGGAGAAATACATACAGGAAAGGCATGTTTATCTAAATTTGGCAATTTTAGATAGTTATCTGTAAACTAAGGATGTACAGTCCGTAAATTACAAATTCTAACTTACATTCTTTGGAGCTATAAAGAAGATGACTTTATGATTATCTTATAGGATTTTATGATTTAGTCTTTTAAAAGTCATGGATTATTGTTAGTAATACTCTGAATATTATAAGACAATGGGAAACTAATTTCTTGGGCTACTGGTAGAAACAATTTCAGAGAAGGAATAAGGTGTTTAATTTCATCTGAGCTCCCGACAATGAATCCAAAGCTACACATCTTCCTGCACATTAACATGAATCAGGGTCTTTGCCATCAGATACTGGTTTGTGTCTTTTTTTTTTTTTAATTTATTTACCTATTATGTATTATATATACAGTGTTCTGCCTACATGCCAGAAGAGGGCGCCAGATCCCATTACAGATGGTTGTGAGCCACCATGTGGTTGCTGGGAATTGAACTCAGGACCTCTGAAAGAGTAGCCAGTGCTCTTAACCACTGAGCCATCAATCCAGGCCCTCTGGTTTGTGTCTTACTGGCTGTGTCGTCACTGACAAACAGACCGTACATGCCTCAGCATCTCAACTAGTGGGGCCATAACGAATCACAGCACCTTTAAGGATTAAACTGGAAAAATGCTTATGAAGGCCTGCACAGGCAGCATCCTACACAGTGAGCTCCGAGTAGCACATGGTATCACTGGCGAGCCGCTGGGATATTAAGGCTAGTTTTAAACGCAGCTCGTAACGCATAAACTAATATCTGCTGGTGAAGACCTTGATCCATGTCAGCGTGCACTACCTGCTCTGACATGAGTGCTGAGCCATGACCAGATGTCTTATCCTGATGGACAAATAAGAGCAATGGGTACATTTAACAGGAGAAAAAGAAACAGTTTGAATTTAGAGAAATGAATGAAATCAACCCTGCCGTGCGGGCAGATAGAATACTCTGCACAGCATTTAAAAGCCTGGTTAAAATGACAGCATCGCCCTATATATATATTTACCAGATTTCTGTGGGGCAAACACGGTTCTGTTATTAGAGTCGTCACCCTGGATTATATAGCCCAGACCTCCGCCCCGGCTTCATCCTCATTCTACTCTATTGCAGACGCTGAGTGGTTCACGAAGTGTTGGCAGGAGGCTGTCCTGAGTCTAATCCCTGCTCCCTAAGGGGGCCCCGGTGATGATCTCACAGGGCTGATGCCGGGCCTCGCCAAGATAACGTCCGTGACGGCTTTGTCAGTAGACCTGAAGGAATACGTACTATGCTTTGTCAAGCTTTGTGACAGCGAGAGATGAGGCCATCAACACCCTTCCTTGTGCCTTACTCCTGAGCACTGGTGGTATAAACGCTTCCATGAATGTCTTCTCATCCAAGGTTTCTCAAAGAGTCTAACTTCCTTGAACAGCACTTACACAGATCTACAGTACTGCTTTGAAAGCAAACGAGTGAATTTGATACTGAATTGAGTGTAGATGAGAACACTGCTTTAAGTCTTTGAGTTTTGAAATCGCTGTATGCTCTGTTAAAACAGTCCGTTGGACTCTCTGTATAAAGTTCCGGAAGCCTGTCTGTCCGTCACTCCCTCCCCATGTACCAGTAGGGCCTATCACAGCCATGAAAAGGTAAACTGCCCAAATCCTCTCCCATCTTTGCTGGGTTATGTGAGAAAGAAAAGATAAATAATAACGGTGATGCTGAAGTAAGAAAAATGGATGCTTCCTATTTGCTAAGCCTTATGATGTGCCTCCATTGTGCTTGGTCTGTTTTGTCAGCATTTTGACTTATTTTCTGCATTAGTTCATGGCGGAGAATTAGTTTTTGTGGAGAATTAGCTTTTGTGCCATTTGACTTGTTCTGGCAACAAGGAAGGAGTCACGGGCCACCTACCAGCAACCACAAGCTCCAGGTTAAAAGAGTTCTGTCCTGCTCTGTTGGTGGCAATACACGTGTAGATGCCGGCATCCCGGGCCGTGACCGGCTCTATGATGAGGGAGTGTACTCCGTTCTCACGGACCAGCATCTTGTGAGCACTGTCAGGGCGGATGGGCTTCCCATCCAGTTGCCAGCTGAGATCTGGGGTTGGTAACCCACTGACCTAAACCAGAAAGGAAATGCACATAAATTTCTCTGATATTAAAACAACCAAATCACCAGGAGTTATGGAGTCAATTCCTCTTGAGCTTTGAAATTGCTGCATGGTCTGTTAAAAAGAGTCTGTTGGATTTTATATATACAGTTGTGGAAGCCTATCTGTCATTCCCTCCCGGTGGGATGCTAGGTATCACAAACAATGGCCTTTTAGATGGCTTTTTCATGCTTCTCTTTTGTTTAAAACTTTCCCATGGTTTCCATAAGCATGCAGAGACTCACAACTAAACATTTCTTATAGAACAATCTAGAGATAAGTGAAACAGGGATTGAAACACATTTCTGTCATCATCTAACCTCACCCAAGACTATAAAAATTCCCAGGTGATGTCAGCATTGGGCTCCGAGCTCTTTGGAAACAACCAATATATGAATAACACTCAGATCTAAAGCTTCCCAACAAGGAGTGGCCATCGCCATGGCGATGTTAGTTAATGCGTCCATTAGTACACAGACCTATTATTATTTTATAATCCGTGAAACTGAAGAACAAGTGAAATTTGAAATCGCCCATAAATCATAGACAAATTAGCATCACAATGGAAATGTCCTGAAATCTGAAGACCATGGCAGTTGTGTGACATGTTACAGTGTAAGGTGACAGTGTGGAAGCCACCTGCCAGCTTTTTATAGTGTTGCCCTTGATTTGAGAGTAGAAGAGCATTAGGAAGGACCTTTTGAAATCCTTCCTTCTTCTAACTTCCCTAGTGGGAAATTACGTATTCTGGCCCCCAAAAGGGACAGCTAAACAATTCCTATGAAGCACTAGCTTTGTCCAAATCTGTCAGAGACCCATGTATCCCGTCCTGCCCCATGGTACGTGTTCATTCCTACTACCAACAAAGCATCTCCTAAACATGTAGTCAATGTGTGGAGAATGTAAGGGAAAAGAGGCAATTATTAACAAGAGACTGGGATTTCTGAAAGAGTCGTAGTCAGGAAGTAGTGTTTGAGGCAGTATGATGTCCTCTTATCCCTTGCCATCCTCAGATGTACATCTCCACATGTACCCTCTCCCTGTGGGGAAGACCCTGGAAGTAAAGCAGTGGATATTCCCAACTGAGTTCCAGGTCTTGAGGACTTTATAGCTTGTTCCCACTTTTCTGGGCTTGATAATGGACAAGCAGGATCATCTAACTTGCAGGAAGCCATGATTGGGTCCTTTCAAAACAATTCGCTGAGGAGCTGTTCCGTGGGTAGAGTTACTCGTGCTCAGGCAAAGGGAGCATGTCCTAGTCTTGTGACTCCGGCCCTCCCAGTGTGTAGTGAGAACAGCATGGTATCAGGTCATCAGGTCGTCCCAAGCAGCCTGAGCAGTCTGTGCTCTTGGTCCATGTGGAGAGGCAGAGAGAAGAGCATACTTTTCCTACTTTGAAGTAGATAGCAGTGTGCAGAGCCCATTCATATGGCAAGACATTTGGTTCTCCCTCTTTGGTTTTTGAGGCAGGGTTTCATGTGGCCCAGGCTGGTGACTATGTAGCCAGGGATGACTTTGACCTTGTGAGCCTCCTGCTTCTGGGTTCTTAGTGCTGGGATGTGAGGCTTGTGCCACCACACTCAGCAACTTTCAGATTGTCTTTATGCAGGTCAGATCATGCTAGTGAATTCAAGGACTGATTGTTTTAGTTCTCAACACCCTTTAAAGGCACAGATGAAAGGACATTTCCTCCTCCTCTTCTCCTTCTTTTATTTTTTTCTGGAACTGGGCCTGACTGTATAAAGCCAAATGACCTATGTTTCCTGTGTAGATCACACTGGTCGGGAACTTCCAAAAATCCACCTGCCTCTACCACCTGTGTGCTGGGAATAGGGGTGTGTGCCACCACACCTGGCCCACAATTCCGTTTTTAAACATTTAAACATGAAATTAATAACAATCTTAGGATGTCATCATTTCCTTTGTTGACTGGGAAGACCATCATATTGGTTATATTTATGAACTTTTTCAAAATTTAAAATATTTATTTAGAAAATGGGCAAATAAAAGTTTTGTTTGTATGTGTTGCATACACGATGCTCTAGAATATGTACACATTGTGGAATAATGAAGTTGAGCTAAACAGCACGTTCATTATCTAACATGCTTATCATTTCTCTTTTGTGGCAAGAACCTTTACAACTTCCTGTCAGCAGCTTTCATGGGTCTGAAGGGTTGTTAATATCCGCCATAACGAGCCATAGATTTCTTGAACTTGTGTCTACTGCGTGACTGACAGCTTCCCAAGACTGCTCCGCCAGCTCTCAGGAAGCATCATTTAGTTCCTCCACTGCTGAGCTTCTTTAGATTCTGTTTTGGGAATTTTGTGTTGTGGTCTGACTTCACTGAACACTGGCTCGAGGGGCGGGGTTCGCATTCAGGGGTCGGAATGGAGCAGAGAGTTCCCCCAAAACTAGAGAAAGAGTGGCCCAGGGCAGAGAGGAGGTGGGGTCGGAAGGTGACGCAGGCTTTGGTAGAGCCGGTGGAGGACAGAGACAGGGTTTGAGTTTTTGTCTCAGGCTCTTAATCTTTATATTTTGTCCCCGAGTTCTATTTTATAATAACGGGTAAAAGAAATCGTAGCAAGATTCTACATGTGAGTAACAGCTGAGTGAGGTCATGCCGTGTCCGTCCTTCTGTCCCTGGGTCATTTCACTTAATGTCCGTTAGGCTCACCGTGTTTTCATCAGTGACGGAGTTTCTTCCTTCAATATACCTTACACAGGTATTTTTAAAAATCTCTCTATCTGTTGGTGGACACTTACACTGACTCTGTATTTTGGATGCTGTGAATGATGTGAGTACAGACATCTCTGAATTGTGATTGCGTTTCCTGTGGATCTAAGCCAACTAGATCGTATAGTAGTTCTAACATGTGAATTCTTGTGTATGGTGTGTTTGCACATGTTCCTGTGGATGCATGTACATATGGTGGTGGAGGCCGGAGGTCAACGTCAGGTCTACAGTTCTCCTCAGTTTGAGATAGGGTGTCTCATTGAACTCAGAGCTCACTGGTTGGCTAGACTGTCAGCAAATGAACCCTTGGGGTCACCTGTGTCTACTCCCCTATCAGCAGTGGATTATAGGGCAATAGCTTTTTATGTGGCGTTGGAGAGATCCGAACTCAAGTCCTCATGCGTGAGCAGTAGACACTTTACCAGCTGAGTGATCTTCCTCATGTGTGAACCTTAAAAACTTCTATCTATCTATCTATCTATCTATCTATCTATCTATCTATCTATCTATCTATCTATCTATCTATGTATCTATCTATCTATCTATCTATCTATCTATCTATCTATCTATCTATCTATCTATCTATCTATCTATCTTCCTTATTTATTTATTTATTTATTTATTTATTTATTTATTTATTTATTTATTTATTTATTTATTATTTGTGACAGGGTCACACTATGTAGCCCTGGTTGTCCTGGAACTCATTATGTAGACCAGGCTAGCCTTAAACTCACAGAGATCCACCTGCCTCTGCCTCCCAAATGCTGGGATTAAAGGCGTGAGCCACCACACCCTGGCCCCCTGAATATGTTAATTCTTGATTTAAAGTGAAGTAATGCTTTGAAATTCAACTTGTGTTTTGTAATGTAAGATGTACTACATTAGGAAAGCAAATTATTTTAAAGAATACATTTATTCTTTTCTATATGTTCTTAGAGGCCCCCCACCAAAAAAGAGTGATCAAAAAAATTAGATTACTTCAAAGTAATTGCTAGAATTGCGTCAAGTACTGACTAAGAATGAGGAGACACACATGATCCTCCCATCTCTCCCACAGGAATTCTGTGGTCATTGGCAAATCGCCTCTCCAACTCACCGTCTTTCTCACACTGATAAAGGAATCAGAATTTCTACTCTTGCATCTTCAAGAGTGATAGTTTTGAAACTAATGAAGGCCACAGCTACGGCCTAGTTTTAGAAATACCGATATGCATTGTTCTTTGGTTCACACTAGCCGTGGCGCATGCACATCCAGGAAACTTATTTTAACAGCAACGTTTCCAAGCCTCTCCACCAAGCTCTCTGGTTATTATTCACGTTCTGCAATTCCAGGGAGAACCAGCAGATGGAGCCCAAGTAATCTTCAAAAATGATCCACATTTAAGCACTAAAGGTCTAGACAGTACACAAATGACTGACAGGTGGCAGGGGTGGGTGGGTGGGGGAAACTGCTAGGGGATGGAATGTATGGTGGGAACAGGGGGTGAGGTAGGTGAGGGGAGGAGCAGGGGACTAGAAACCAACCCAGACTAAATATGTTTGAAAATGCCGTAAGGAAACCCGTGAACATGTCAGCTAATTTAGAATAAAGTTAACCCATCAAAACTAGTATAAGAAAGACGGTAATGCAGCAATGTGAGGAATAAAAAAGCCAATAGCTTCAGAGCACAGAGTAATCATGAAGATCACCAGATGATTAGGATGCACGACAGATTCATCCCCTAATCGGGGAGGGGGAACTTGAGGAGGGAAGGGGGAGAGGGAGCAAGATCTAGTGATTTCCCGGGGTTTAGTTCCGAGTAAAGAACACATTGAATGACAGTTTAAAAGGAAAGGAAA